AGGGTTCCATACGTGCCCAGCCTTCAGAGTAAGATTGCTGTGTTAGCCTGTTTTCCATAATTATAACAAATACCTGAGATAACCAGCTTATGAAGGGAAAAGGTTTATTTTGGTCCCAGTCCATAAACAGGTAGAGCTGTTGCTTTTAGGCCTCTGGGTGTGGCGGGGGGGGGGGGTCCAGATAGCAGTGGCAGAGAGTGTGTAGCAGAGAACAACTGTTCACTGCTTGGCCAGGGAGCAAAAGAGAGGAAGAGGCTGAGGTTCCACTGTGCCCCCTAGGGCACACCCACGGTGACCTAATGATCTCCTACAGCCCCCACCTCCTAAGTGTCCCCCGTAGGCCCTGCCTGCTAAGGGTCTCTCATAGGGTCAAGATGGAAACCAGGTCTTCGACACAAATTTACGCGGAACACTTTAGACCCAAACTACAGCAGATGTTCACAGTTTTGCTTTCCCAGTGTCCACTGTGACCAGCTTATGATAACAATACCCTAATTTTCTCTCAGGAAGCTACCCCTGATACGCTCCCCATGTGGCTCTCTTATGAGACCTACCCACCTCATAAGACAGTAGCAGGTTAGGGGCCCACTGAACATCTGTCTTAGTTACTTTTCTCATTACTGAGACAAAATACCAGACACCTAAAATTAAAGGAGGAAAGATTTATTTGTCTCACAGTTTGTAGAAGTTTCTGTCCATACTCAGCTGGCTCCAAGGCAGGGTGATGTGGCAGACAGGCATGGCAGAGGAGAAACAGTTCATGGTGGGCAGAAGGTAGCAAAGTAAATAAGGGAGGACCACAGCTCTTTCTATCCCTTATATCTTATCGAGACCACTTAGGGTGGGCAGCACTCACAACCTTAATCCTAGCACCCTTGATCCTAGCACAGCACCATAAATCAATCCCTGCGTCACACACTCTAGATTCAGCCACTTCTGAAAAAGCCCCAGCTGGGACTGGATGAGGCTTTGGGGGACATCCTGACACAGTCATAGCAGCATCCATCTATTATATGTCAACATTTTGTGTTGAGGCTGGACCAGACTGCTATAAGAACCATAAGAAAAAGTTGTGCCTATCTACTAGGGTTCTCAGCTGGTTGACTGTCAGCTGGTGTTGCTGGTGGATGTCTTTGCTAACACTTGTGGAGAACTTTCCTGGAAAGAAAGCCACCATTCACAGAATAGAGCCAAAAGATAAATTCTTTCCAGCATCCTCTGAGTCCCTGGATCCACCATGCCTAAAGCCACATATACTTATAGGGACCAAAAACAATTTAATTGCCTTTTGGTATGGGCCAATTTGAGCTGAGTCTCTACAACTTGTGACCAAAAGGGAGATTCATGAGTTCCTCCAAGTGCTATGCAAATTTTGTATAAATATGCACGGATATATTTTCCTGGAGAAAGGCTCTCCTAAAAGTTTTCCTGGACTCAGATTAAGACAGCCTGTTCTAATCTAATGTCCTCATGTTATAGATGAGAAAACAAAGATCCAGAGAAAGAGAAAGTAATTTGCCCCAGGCCACACAGCAAGCGAAAGATGGAGCCTGGGCCAGAATTCAGATCTCCAGCTTCTCTTCCTCATCAGCAGATCTCAGTATCTGACTGCCTAGTAAAATTGCCAGGAAGTTGCTGAGCATCACCTGCTCAAGTTCCCCCTAGACAGGGCAAGTTAGAATGTCTGCAGATGCAGATCACCTGGAATTTCCAAAAGCTTCCTAGAAGAATCAAGTGTGCATTTGGGTGAGAACCCCTTGACTTCAACATGAAAACAAAGATAAAGAAATACACGTGAACCCACATGTCCATGATTTGTTAATAAGCACTAAATGATACTTTTACTAACATAACATTGACTATCTTAGTCTACCCAGGCACTGTGTAAGGTGTGGGTGTGCAAATTTGGTTTTTAAAATTTTGGGGGGGTGAGACAGGGTCTCACTATGTAGTTCAGGCCAACCTTGAACTCACTATGTAGCCCAGGCTGACTTCTAACTCATGGTGATGCTCCTGCCTCAGCCTCTCAAGTGCTGGGATTATAGGCATGTGCCACTACACCCAGCTCAGGCGTGCAAATTTGAAGAAAACACAGTAGTCTACCTGAAAAATACTTCCATCCATCAAAGAAAGAGCTACATTTCATGGCGACAGAACAGAATCCTTGGCAGTACTGCCTGCAAGCTCTTACCACTGTCCTCCCTCCTGTCTCTCAGATTAAGTAAACATTTCCTTTAGAAGAGACAGTCCAGTGTTTGAAACAGTCCCCTGCAGGAAACATAAGGCTTTTAAGTACATTGACATGTACTTGAAAGAAAGCAGTATATAGTTAGGTTTACTTCTACGTTTTTCTAGAGAGACCTTCTAATTGTCACTATATTGTTCTACGTCATCCTCTGAATTGCCACACCCTATTTCCATCCCACTCTATGCAATAAAGGAGCTGTGGCATGTATCACTTCAACCCCGTAAGTGTTTACAAATCACCTCAATGCCCCAGGTACGATACTCAATTTGTGCATGGATAGAAGGAACAAAGAATGACCCCAGAAGGAAAAAGTATGCCCTCAAAGATGTCAATTAAATGAGGATTGCTAGATTAACATCCACTACTAATGAAAGTGAGCTGTGATAAATATAGTGATTACAGCTATAACGCCACTTATTACATATCTGTCCCATGCCAGACACTTGCTTGGCACTATACATGCCTCATGGCATTCAATACTTAAATGTCCTTGGTGCGTTAGGGTCATTTTTTATCCACATCTACATGTAGGGTGATAGAGATCCACACGCAGGGAGTTAGAGACTAGGAGCTGTCCAGTCATCTGCCAGATTTCAGCATCAGCTCTTGGGTCTGCTCCTTCCGAGTGTTATAGAGTGTCCCCTGCTGAGCACAGACTGCATCAGGACATAGAAAAGCCAGATCCACTCACGGAGCCCCTCGGCTCTTCCCCCAACATGGTCACAGTGAAAGGAATACAAGGCACAGAGAAAATCAGTAACTTTAAATAAAAGAAATCCCAGGAAGTAACACACTACAAAACGTATGAAGTAACAGCGTCTGAAAATATTTTTGATGGCAAAGTGGGATATAAGGAAGAAGACTCAGGATGTAGATACTGGAAAGCAGGTGTAGCTGAAATGCTGACAGTTCACCCTGGGTGAACTGGAGTTACCTTGCTGGGCACACATGCTACAGAGCAGACAAAGACCCCCCACCCACTCAACACAAATGCAGGACCAAGTGCCATGGAGGTAAAGGAACTCATCCAAGGACACTGAAACAGCAAGTGGCAGACCTGGATTTCAAACCCCCACACCGGGCCAGCTTTCCTGAGACACCTCAGCTCCTCACTCTGGCTGTCCCATTGTATTTAACAAACCCACACTGGAGATGGAGGGACAGCCTCCAAGCTATAGTCTAATCGGTGCTGGGAATAGGATGGGGTTGCACCCTAGCATTTCTGAGTTCCCTAGGAGAACCTGTCCTGACACTCACCCCAAACACTGCGGAGGTCCTGAAAGATAGATCTGTACAAATCAGTGGCTATTGAGGGAATTCTTATGGCTTGTGTCTAGATGACCCCACAAAGCCTCATGCAGTCATAGGTGGGGCTTTTCAGAGATGGCTGGATCTGCAGCATATGATACTGGGTTATGGGTGTGTGATTACTAAATTACCAAATTAGTCCACTGATTGGTTGGAGATAGTTCTGGATAGGATTAAGGGTGCCCCACCCTGGATGTGAGTGCTAGCCTCCCTCAGGGCAGGTACCCTGGATAAGATATAAGGGACAGGAAAAGGGATGCTGCTTGTCCTTGCTCATTACTTGCTGCTTGCTGCCTTCTGCCTACCCTGCTTTGTCTTTGGCTATCTCTCCTCTGTGATGCCCCTCCACCACGCCACCCTGCCTTGGAACTGGTCAATTATGAACTGAAACCTCTACAAATTGTGAGCCAAAAAACCTTTCCTCCTTTAATTTTGGGTGTTGGGTATTTTGTCTGAGCAACAAGAAAAGTAACTAAGACAGGAATGAAATGCCTTTTTATATTAGCTGGGATGGCAGCTAGCACCTGAATTCAGCATCCCCTTATAAGGCAGGAAGAGTGGGCATAAGGACCCATTGCATCATGCTGCCAACAGAGGAAGCAAGAAGATCTCTGTGTGTGCGCGTGTGTGTGTGTGTGTGTGTGTGTGTGTGTGTGTGAGAGAGAGAGAGAGAGAGAGAGAGAGAAAAGAGAGAGAGAGAGAGAGGGCTTTTTCAGAAGATCCAAAGAGGCTCCACTTACCCAACCAGCTCCCACTGCAAAAGGGAAGCAGAAAGAGGGACTTGCAAACTGGTCTACACCCTTTACACAATGACCTGCATAGTGACAATAACACACCCAGCCTCCTGCAGACTTCATGGCACAATAAAAGCACATCCTCCCCACCAAAGGAGGAGCAGAGTGGGCCAGGAGACAAAGGACCCTCTCTGTTTTCAGGGTGCACACATGAAAATCCTATTACCCAAAACAAAAAAATTTTTAAAGGAATTATTGTCAATCTGGAGTAAGTCTACTTCCACCTAGAATACACATGAATCTCAGAAAAAGACTGACTGACCCAGTTAGGGTCAAGTGAATGCCCTTAGATCAGTCCCTCCAGTGGGATTTGTGAGAACATGGCAGGCTAGGGTGTGACCATATGATGGGACCATGACTACACGTGGTTGTCCCACTACCACAGAGAGACACAAGCAGGACCACTACACTGTGGCTGTATCTCTCACTACACTTCTCCCTGTTTTTATCCAATCTTGGCTTTGAGATTTTCAAGGCTGAGGATCCTATTTCCTTCACTGTGACCACCTAGTACCTGCCTTGCAGGCGTCTATTACTTCTCAATAAATGTTTGACTGAATGATAGTAGATAGCACTTATTAAGCCCTGCTGTGGGCTGGAGACAAAGCTACATGTTCTTTATACATTAAATAATACAATCATCACAATACCTTTATGTGGTGGATTGTATTCACGCTGTTCTTCAGATGGAGAAATTGAGTCTCATCAAAGTAAAATAGCTTCCTCAAGGCCACACAAGCAGTAAGCAGTATACCTGGAATTCAAACTTCTATCCATATGACTTCTAATGATGCTAAACATTTAAAAACAAATGAGTGAATGTTAACATGGTGGATTAGATGAAATAACAAAAACTAAAATTGTTTAAAATTGTAGTCTACTTAAAATTACATAAAGATGAGGCCACATTCAGGATGACTTTTGAGTCCTGCTATTGATGTCTGTTTACTGTGAAGACAATCTATTTAAGCAGCAAAACATGGTGCTACATTAAACACAGCCTAATTAATAATGATGTTCTAAATGGGAACAATTAAATCAAGACTGCAGTAGTTTGCCAGCCTTTTCTCCTTGACACAGCTGGCCTGGTCTCAGGCTCTTTCCTGTCTTCATTAAGTAGCTAACCTCTGTGTGTCAATGACTTGCAGTCTAGAATTGGCACCATTGGCATCCTGGGTGCCCTCAGCTTATATTACTAAGTGGTTAATGCAGCTAAAGAATAAAACTAACTCTTAACTTCTTCAATACCTCTTTCCTAACTCAAACCTTGCCTTCTCTCAAAGAGAGATATATCCTACTTTGTTCACTAGCCCTTGAACAGGCCTTGCAAATTCCTCGCTCTACACCTTTGATCTTGCTGTCCCAGTAGTAGGACTGTTTTCTCCTCTCACCTATAGCCCACTTAGTCCTCTGTTAGTCTGCTCTTGGGTTTTTTTTGTTTTTTGTTTTTTTGGTACCAGGGACCTTGCCCTTGCAAGGCAGGCAGCAGCACCACTGAGCTAAATCCCTGGCCCCTGCTCTTAAGGTTCAATGACCCCACACAAAAATGAATGCAAACAGATTCAAATATTCTGCTCCTGCTGTTGTCCTAGGGCATGTTTAATATTTGACATAGGAAGTGCCAGGTGCTTGAAAATGGGAGCTCTATTATCATCTTGAACTTTGTATTGATCTGCTCTTGTTGCATAACACATATGAACAAAAATCTCCTGGTCATATGATAAGAAGCTTATATGACAGCTAGAATTCAACTGGTGTGGCCTGAACCCTTCTAGGTTAATTATCTATCTCTAAGAAAGTGAATTATGGCATATGCATGTAACACATTATAAAACTATTCAAAAATAACTTAAATCTATCAATGCTAATTCACTCATTCAAGAAAATATTTACTGTGTGCCTACCACATGCCAAGTTCTGTTCTCTGTGAGAGCAATGGGCAGAAAGTGAGATATACAAGGCCCTTCCTTTCAAAAAGAGAGAGCAATGGGAGACAATTAACTAGTCAGCAAATAAAGCCAAGTGTGGTGGCACACACCTGTAATCCCAGAACCCTGGGGGGCTGAGGCTGGTGGATGGCATGTTCAAGCCCAGATAGGGAAATTAATTATTTAATAAGATCCTCAAATTTTTGTTTTGTTTTGTTTTGTTATGTTTTTAAAGGCTGGAGTGAAGCTCAGTGCAAAGATCCTGGCTTCAATCCCTAATTCCAAAAAAAGGTCAACAAATAAATTTGATATCAGGAAAGTGACACGTTATGCAAAAAATATAACAGGACACAACATGCTAAGGGCAGCCTGGAAGAGGGACCACTGCTAGTGGGTAGCTGGGGAAGCCTTCACTGAGAAAGCAGTGTTTGCAGGAAACTGCATGGCAAGAAAGGCCAATCCCTTCTTGAAGAGCATAAATAAGTAATAGAGGAAGAATGTTCCAGGGAGAGGAAACAGCAAGAACAAGTCCCTAAATTGGGGATGATCCTGGGTTTATTCCAGGAGAGGAACAAAAGCCAGGGTGGTACGTGTGGAGTGAACAGAAGAAAGAATGGTAAAGATGAGGCTGGAGATGAACTGCCTGCATTTGTGTCTTCAGTTTCTCCATCTATAAGACTGACTTACTTATCATTGATAACTTTTATGTCCTGAGATCTCTGCAAAAGAGAGGTGCAAATAGGCAGGGTGGACATTATCATTTCCACTTTACAGATGAGGAAATTGGGTCTCCTAAAGTTTAGTAACTTTACCCCTCGTCACACCTTTGGTAGTCAATGTAATCAGTACTCACAGTCCAATCTCCTGATAGCTCTCAAAATGCTCTTTTCACTACACCAAAACTCTTTGCACCTCCTTTGTGTATTTCAACACGTATGGCTTGCCTTGAATTCTGCAGTGAACCTTCTAATCTCCAATTCTATTTAAGAGTTAACACTCATGTTGTGGATAAATTGAGTTTTTCAGTCTATAGCTCAGCACTGCCCATGAACAGTATTTTCAATATAATTCCTTGGTCGCATATTTATCTTTCCTATCAAAATGTGGGATGGCAACATGCAAGAACTGTCTGTGCTGTAGAAGTTGGATGGAGAGAGAAGATTCGAAGTTGGGTAAATAGAGAGGGATGCCAAATATGTCTGTCCAACACATTCAATGCCACACAGTTTCTAAATTGTGAAACCAAGATTTGCACTGGAGTCTATCCAAGTGGAGAAAGTGTGTGCTCTGTCCAATTATGGAGACCACCATGCATGTAGCAGAGAAAGCTGAGTGCTAAACACCAATTAACTTCAGCTACTATTCTTGTATCATGCACTGTGCCCTTAGAAAGGTCTCTCTGGATCAGCAGTCATCTGATCTAATGGCACACAATCCACCCTAAGGATCCAGGGGATTCAAAAGATCAGGCTGTGAGGATTCCAGATGATTTCCGTGCCATTAATCCTGTTTCTGTAATTCACACAAAAGCCTGGCAGTCTGGCCCCATTTCTCAAAACAGAAGCTGCTGGGGACTGAGAGATTAATCCGACTTCATTAATTCTGCAAAATAAACCATGGCATGTTTAGTCGCACACTCGGAGGCATTACCATAAATCACCAAAATTAAGGCTCACCTGTTTAAGCAGAGGAGCAGCCTGTATTCAGTCCCCATGAGCGGAAGTTTGCAGAATGAGGGCTTCTCAATGGCCACATTGCTTTCCAGAACTTTCCCGTGACCAGCGAGCCAGCTGCGCTGTGTCCTTGCTTCAGCATTAACCAAGCCCGGAACTCAGCTCGATGATTTTGAAGGGACGTGGAGCACGCACGCGCACGTGCGTGCGTACGTGTGTGCGTGCGTACGTGTGTGTTAAATTTTTCCTCAGAATAAGTAAAAACTGAGCTACATTCATAGATTACAAGTTTGAGAGACACTGATTCGTCTTTTAAGCCATAGCTTTTTAAGGTAAAGTCAGAATAGAACCCCAGAACAGATTAAAGGCCCAGAAAGAACCAATAATTTGTACAGTTATACAAGCAGTTAATGGCAGATCTTAGATCTTGAGGACTCCAGGTTCTCAGCTACTCTGTGCTCTCTCTGCTCTAAGGCATTTGCCTGGGGCCTAGAGTAGATTAGCATATATTCCGAATATTCATTCCCCCCTGAGAAGAGTACACTGCCTAACTGTGGTCTTGGCTTTGTAACTTCCCTTGATCAAAAGAATGGAAGCGGATAGCCTGCAGGCCTGGTGAAATGTACTTCTGCTTGGGCGTGAAAAGGCTGGACCCAGATGGGACCGCAGGGGAGGAGAGAACAGGACAGATCAAGGTCCACCTGTTTAGGACAGATGTCTCCGGAGGAGGTTGCAGACAGGGGAGTAAAGCACATGTCTAAGTCATTCTTACTGTCTTGGGTCCATATTATGTAGCAGTAGTTGATCAATTCAAGGCCCTCTTGCAGTCTTGCAACAAATGTCCAGTTGCTGTACTGCAGACTCATGCATTGGAAAGAGTCTGGGCTTCAGCAGAGTGGAATTTAAATTTTGGTTTGGGCATCCAGTTTCTGCAGGATCTCAGAAAAGTCACTAAAACCCTCTGATACTTAATTTTCTTAACTGTTAAATGAAAGAACTAATATTTACCATATGGAGAAGATCAAAATTTGAAATTCAGAGTTTTACATTAACTACCTAGCACATATCATAGTAGGGTATAGATTACAAAGCCTCAGCCAGAGAGTTGGGAAAATGTCACATAACAAAACTGGTAATCAATAATGTAATGCATTTTCCTCTTCCTTGGTCAGAAAAATCTGAACTTTTAGCTGGACAAAATAAAAACTATATTTCCTAGATTTCTTTGCAGCTAGTCTGACTTGTGAGAAAGTTTCAGCTAAGAAGATGAAAACAGAGGTGCCATATACAATTTCTGGGACATATTCTTAAAAGAGAAAAGACATTCTTCCCCTACTATTTGAATGTGGACGTAGGGTTAGAACTCACACAACCATTTTGAAGCATAAGTAGGAAACCAAATACCACGTATGGCAGATAGAAGCCTGAAGAAGCCTAGGTTCTAAAACACTGGAATCAGTCCTGGATCACTTTCCCTTAACATAAGAAAAAATAAATGAACCACTAACATCATTGGCCCACTATTATTTAGGGGAATCCTACTACTCAGCATCGCTTGGGGATGTTAGAAATGCAAACCCTTGATCCCTACTCCAGAGCTACTGAGTTGGGCTCTCAGGTGCAGAGCCCAGGACTCTCTGTCTAAACGAGCTCTCTAGGTGATACTCATGCTCACTGAAATTTAAGAAGCATTGATTTAGGGTTTTCCAGCGCTTACACCTAACCTGATAACTAGTGGAGCAGTCCTAAATTGCAGGTTTCGTCAAGGACTAGGACTTACTGAAAGCTTAAAAGGCAGATGCAATAAAGCCAGGAAAGAAGGCAAAGCCAATAACTGACAGTGTCAAGATTTGGAATGATTTTGACAGGGTGGAACACTGGACCAAAGTCAAGCAGATGGAAGTTAATGAGAACATATAAAAAGCAAATCAAAATGTGCTTTCTTTATTGAATGAAATATAAAATGTTCTAGTCTTTGACTTCTTAAATTAAAATGAGGAAATTTAAAGTTACATATCTTAAAATACAGCAAGTAAAGCTATAAATCAACCTCAGTTATGGCTACTTAAAGGAATGAGAGAAGGAGAAAAGCTCAGGAGAGGGAAAGAGAAACAACTCAGGTAATAGAGAGAGCCAAGGACAGAAAGGAAGTTAAAGCTGGGCATAGCAGCACATGACTATAATCCCGGTACTCAAGGTGGAGGCACAACCCTCAAGACAGGAGGGTTGTGAGTTCGAGGTCAGCCTAGACTATGTAATGAGAACCTGTCTAAAAATAAATAAATAAAAGAAAGACAGAAAGGAGGAGGAGAGTAGAGAATCCAGTTCAGAATCTGTCTGTGGATTCTGAGATCTTTTTTCACTTCTAGAGATGATTGTAACTATGAGTCAGATTTTATTGAGACTTACCATGTGTCAGGCACTACATTGTGTGTTACACAATGTATCTTCTAAGGAACTCTAGTATTATAATTGTCTTTGGGATACAGAAACAATGAAAGGAGCAGGGACTCGAGTGAGTTTTCCAAAGCCATACAGTGCTAAATGGGAGCTGGACCTGAACTCAGATAGTTGGCTATGAGTGGGATCCAATATGTCCCCCCGAAAAGGCTCTTTATGGTGAAGGCCTGGTTGCTGGTAGGCTTTTGGAAGGTGATTGGATCATGAAGTCTCTAACTTCATCAGTGCATTATCCACTGATGGGGTCATAATGTGGTGGCAATATTGGAAGTTGAAGGAAATGAGGTGGGACCTAGTTGAAGGAAGTGAATCATGGAAGTGTGACCTAGGGGGCTATAGCAGTTTCCTGGCTCCTTCCTCTCTGGCACTGTTCCGCTGCTTTGTTTCCTGTTCACCCAGAACTGAGCAGCTTTACTCTATCACATCCTGCCATGATGCTCCTGCCTTGGCACCAGATGACCACAGACTGAGACTCATGAAACTGTGAAGCAAAATAAACCTCTCCTCCTTTAATTTGTGGGTGACAGGTATTTCAGAAAGGAAGTTGGGAACCAAGTGAATACTGTCATCTCTCCCTGAGGCCCATAGCTGGGAACAACATGTCCTCAGTACCCCACCCTCTAGGCTCAGAAAACTGACAGCAGAGGACCAGTTGTTTCTACTTCTGCCTTTGCTCATTGCTCCCAAAGCCTTGCTAGGCAGTCATTTCAGTGAAACTGGCACCCTGCCCATGCAGACAGAAGGAGAGGAGGCCTGGGAAGGAGTACATAATTACTCCAGGTGGGAGCTCTGTGAAGAAGTGGTGGGCCTTGCTCAACAAATTTCTTCTCCAAACTCAAGGAAGGAATTTGAAAGGTCTGAGGATCCTCAGTAGGAAGATGGCATGGAGATATAATGAGAAGGACAATGAACAAGTCAGAATGGCCACTCAAGGTGCAATGCTCAAGCCTTCCAGGAAGGGAATTCCCAGGTGGTTTTCAGCCTGGAGTTGAAGAGCTGCAAAGAGAATATTTGGAGAGCAATGGTATCATCAGGGACCATGGCAGGAAGGGGAAGGAGGACCACTTGAGGGAATGTGCATGGTGCCTCTGGCTGGGGCCATGATCCCCTGAGTCAGCTGCTGGCCAGAGAGCATATGGGGCACCTCTGCCATGAAGCCCAGTGGACAAGAAGAGCAGTGATGGCAGAAGGCCTTGCAGAGAAAGGCAACTGTGCAGTGGCAGAAGGCTGGGAATCCAAAGGTCAGTTCAAGTCTCAAATAATTGTCATCTATTTTGTGATGAGCCAGTGACTCTAGGCAGTTTAACTGTTCCACATTTTTATCATCTGATTCCAAACAATCTCATGGGTCAATGGCCACATTCATAATTCTTTTCCAGTTGTGACTTTCTCTCTAGACTTAATTGCAGGTAACTTGAATTTATTGGCTTCAATGGAAGAATTACACTTACAATGTCCTTTTGCCATAGCCATTTTGTCCAACTGGAAATTGGTACCATTTTAATCAATTTCAAGGAACTATATTTTCTTTTGGTCCCTGGCACAAGGCTGAATTTTAATCAGCCTTTGTCCTTAAAGAACTTCCCAGATTTATCTTTTATTGTTCAATGACATTCACTAGTCTTCAAATTCCTGGAGTCTTCCTACTCCTTTTGATTTCACCAAAATGGACAACTATTTCTAGAGCCCAATTCTCTCTTTCAGTACCTCATTATATGTAGCCCGTAGTAATTTAGGCATGCAAATAACACTGTTTCATAACCTCTGTAGCTAAAGCTACCAGTTCATTGAGTGCATTATCCATCTTCCCAGGTGACAGTTCTACCAAGTGTACTGCCACTAGATTACATGGGTCACCATTTTTCCTTGCTTTAATACAATTTTTTCTTACCATTCCTAAGCCCCAGTGTTAATGTCACATAATGTAGATTTTCTGCTATGGCAGGATCTCAATTTTAAATCCCAACCACTATAACAATCGATTTGACCCAAGTAATACTGGAGAAACAACAAACAAGCCCAAAATCTTTACAAGAAAGATTTATTCCTTGCTTATCTCCATGCCCTTTACAGGTTGTCATTTTGCCACAAGTTTTCCTTATTCTAGGATTTAAAACTGAAGAAGCAGACACTCTCTGGGACATGCCAGATTGCAAAAAATTAAAAGAAAAAGCAGGCCCATGTTCTTCTGAGCTATAGTCTGGAAGTTGATTGTCTCTCAAAGGTACATGTGTTAACTCCTTGTTCCCAGGCTGGTGCTAACTGGAAATACTGTGGACCTTTAGGAGGTGTGGCTTAGCGGGAGGTCCTTAGGTCAGAGGGAGCCTGTCCTTGAAAGGGATTGCTGGACTCCAGTGTCTTCCTTTTCCTCTTTTGCTAGGCTTATGACATGAGTGGGTTTGTTCTACCACTCACTCCCATTGTGGTATAGTTTCCTTCTCAGAGACCCAAAGCAATGGGGACACCTGATCTTGGACTGCTATGAACTCATGGAAACCTTTTTCTCTGTGTAAGTTAACTTTCTCAAGCACTTTTTGTTGCAGTAACATGAAGCCAACGAAACATTCAACTTGAAAATGGCACATGTATTTCTGGTCACATTCCATTGACTCAAGTTCATCACATCATAAGACCGACTTTGAATGAACTCCTTCCTCAGGAAAGGGCTGTGGGGATGAGACTCACAGTGAAAGA